GGTGGCGCATGTCTGTAGTCCCAGCTACTCGGGAGGCTGAGGCAGAAGGATCACTTGATCCCAGGAATTTGAGGTTGCTGTGAGCTAGGCTGATGCCACAGCACTCACTCTAGCCTGGGCAACAGAGCAAGACTCTGTCTCAAAAAAATAAAAAATAAAAAAATAAATAAATAAATACACGCAGGCGGTGTAAGTGAAGACAAATGTTATATATGTATGGGGCTACAGAGTCTAAGATTCTTGGCTTTATTGTGGTTGCGGGGCAGAAAATTATCCATATACTACAACAGCCACTAACATCTGAGCAATTTCATGTTATTAATAATAAACATAAACACAGAAGATCCTGGGAAGGCCTTTCTTCCTGTATTTCAGCAATTTACTAACTGGTTGTTTTTTTTTTGAGACAGAGTCTCACTCTCTTGCCTGGGCTAGAGTGCCATGGCGTCAGCCTGGCTCACAGCAACCTCGAACTCCTGGGCTCAAGCGATTCTCCTGCTTCAGCCTCCCAGGTAGCTGGGACTACAGGCATGTGCCACCGTGCCCAGCTAATTTTTTCTATTTTTAGTTGTTTGGCTAATTTCCTTCTATCTATATAGAGACGGGGTCTTGCTCTTGCTCAGGCTGGTCTTGAAATCCTGAGCTCAAGCAATCCTCCTGCCTTGGCCTCCCAGAGTGCTAGGATTACAGGTGTGAGCCACTGCGCCCAGCCTTGACCAACTGGTTTTGATTTTCAGATTTAAAAAATATACCTAGAATATTTCATGAATTTGCATGTTATCCCTTTGCTAACCTTCTCTGTATTGTTATAATTTTCTTTCTTTTTTCTTTTTTTTTAAAGAGACAGGATCTGACTCTGTTGGCTAGGCTGGTCTCAAACTCCTGAGCTCAAGTGATTCTCCCACCTCCCGCCTTCCAAGTAGCTGGGACTACAGGCGCGTGCCATTGAGCCCGCGGTCATAACAATTTTCATACAGTATATATATTTGCCAAGTACCATTGGGAAAACTGGACTCTTATGGGGTGGCTGCAACTCCAACCTTGGTCCCTGGAGACAAAATACAGCTTTTTTTCGCAGCAGCAATTGGAATCCTTTCCTAGGAGTTAATGACACAAAGTTGGGGATAAATGAGTACAAAGACCCTGAGGTCAGAGGGAACCTGGCTTGAGGACTTGAAAGACGGTGAGAATGGGGGGGAGCTAGATGTGTGAGGATAAGAACGAGGCAGTGTTAGAGCCAGTTCCCCTCGGCCCCAGGAACAGAGAGGCAGAGTCACCGAGGCTGCAAATGGCAAAGGAGTTTATTGGCTAGCTCGAGCTAGGGTCCAAGTCCCAGAGCACCAACGTAGTGGCCTCTTTTAAGGGCTAGGACCCTGCCTTGAAGTAGAGGTTAAGCTTTTATACCGTTTTCTGTTTTACACATGACACACAGGTTTCACAGGACACGCTGGGCACACCTTCCCCCCCTCCCCTCCTTAGTTCATTGGTTCCTTTAAAAGTGGCTGATCGTGTTGGCTCCTGATTGGTTCCTTTAAAAGTGGCTCCAAGCCTCGGGATTTTCACGCCGGCACCAATTGTTGTCAGCGTCATTTCGGGGGGAAAGGGCGGCGTCGTTTCAGGAAAACCGAAACTTAGGCCTACTCCAGGAAGTTCAGCCTGTCATGGAGTCACTCCTGCTTTTATTCCTGTTTCTGATTAACTACATTTAACAAACAACTAAAAGCAAGCACGGTCACAGAAGCAAATAGCATTAGTTAGAATCAGAGAGAGCACATTTTTCTCTAATCTCTAATCTTAAACAATTCATCTCACACAAAGCAAAGTATATTCTCCTACTATCAATTCCTGTTTTTCAGCAGGTTAACTCCAGGGTTTGAAGAGGCTGGTATACATATAGTTTCGGTGAAGATTGAGATCTTAATCTGGAGAAGAGAAGGAAAAGCAGAGGATGGCATTTTGAAAAGCTCTCACCGTGTGTGAAGAAGTTACTGGAAGAGGGAATAGTAACGGGGTGGAGGCCACTATCATCTTGGAGGGAAGAGTCGCCTAGACAGAAGCGGTGACAGTGGGATGGAGAGAAGTGGGAGGTTTTGAGATGCATTTAGGAGGCAAATTAACAGGTGGTGGGTAGTGTTCAGTCCCGGGCTTCGCGTAATCTCAGCGGTTACGGGTGAGTAGGGACTTCGTGTTCCAGATGGGGCGCCAGCCTGGTTCCCGCGCGTCAGGGCAGTGGGCGTGGCCTGCACGGGCCGTCGCCACGGTGATCGGGCGGGGCCGGGGGCGGGGCAGCTGGGGCGCTGCGTCACTCGGTGGTGGCGATGGTGCGTGTGTGTGTGGGGGGCGGGGGATACGCTGGGCGCGTCCCGAGGGTCACGTGGTGCGCAGCACGCAGAGTCCTTCTGTCGGTTGGTCCTGGAGCGGCGCAGCTGGAGCGGGGCCGTGAGGTGAGCTCGCGGCGAGGCTCCGCAAGGCGAAGCCAGCTGGCCGGGGCAGGGTCGGGCCGGGCCTGCGCTGCGCGCGCGCCGTGCGGCCGGGAACGGTGACGGACGCCACCGCTGCTCCGGTCCCCTGCCCGGCCCAGCTCCGCGCCTGGCCCCACTCGCCCAGCCTGGAGGGAGGCCCTGGGACTGCTGCTGAGAGCGTGGCGGGCGTGCGAGTGACGCCCAATCCTCGGGGCTGCCCGCGGGAGTGACGGCGGCCGTGGCCAATCACCGCCGCCCGAGGGGGTTGGGCCGCGGGGTGCGGGCCCGGGGCGCGGAGCTGGCGGTGTTGGGGGTGGGGGATAAGCGCTAGGGCCCGGGCCTGAGCTGTGTGGCTCCCGGGAGCCCCATCATCAGTTCTACTGTTGCATTGTGCTTTGTGAATGCGTTTTCTTTTATTGGCTCTTTTTTCCTATTTTGGGGAGCACACCCCTTTCTCCAGACCCCGAATATGGGAGTGTCCCCTTTCTCTATAGTTTTGAAAATCTGGGTGGCACACCCCGTTTCTTAAGCTCCAGCCCTGGGATTTTATCTCAGTTTGTAAAGCCCCCCAAAGTGGGGCTGTACCCCTTGTCCCCAGCCCCCCAAACTGGGAGAGTACTTCCATTTTCAAGTCTCCACTCTTGAGTACGCATTCCCTTTCCAGTTTGGGGGTTCACCCTGTTAATGGGTCCCTCAAATTTGGGGCCAATTAACCAAAGTTTTGGGATACTTTCTTACATCCCCAGAACTCTGAGGAAGAATCCCCCCTTTCCAGGCCCCAAATGTGACAACGTGCCTCCCAGAATTTCTTAAATTTAGGGGTCACTTCCTTTCTTCAGCCTTTCAGTTCTGAGGGTGCACCGAAAATGAGGTCCAAATCCTGAAGTTTACAGGCACTTATTTTCAATTTCACAAATAAGGGAATTCACTGCCTTCTTTCTATTCTTGGGGTTGCACCCTTTTCATGAGTTCCCCAAATCAAACTACCTTATTTCCTGGAGGAGACTCATTTTCATATCTGAGTATATTTGTTTCCTGTGCCCCCCAAATGTATGAAATGCACCTCTTTTAGTTACACAACTCTCAGGATCCAGCCACCTTCCAGGTGCTTCTTAAATCTGGGGGACACACCTTTTTCCTGAGTCCTCTCATTCCCAAGTGGTGGGTGGTCTGTGGTTCTTGAGCATGCGTTCCTACCCCTATTAGCTTTTCTGTCATCCAGGACATTTTCATTCCTCAGTTTCCTTCCTTCTTTGGAAGCACATTACCCTTTAGGTGCTCTCCCAGTCCGGTCAGTGCACCCATTTCCTCTTCCTTCCTCTGGTGAGTACATATCTTTGTTCAGCACAGCACTTTCTCTCTGCTTATGTGGCCTTTTTTTCTGAGCACACTTCCTATAGTCACATCTCCTAAATTCTCCTCCCCCCAGGGGAGGTACCCTCTCCTAAAGAGGTGCTCGCACATTGTTTTTCATAAGTCTATTTTATCTTTTATCTTTCTGCAAACAGGAACTCTTCTCTCTTGGCTCGTTCTGTCTGCAAGCATTTTTCTGGTTTCTGACTGTCTTTTGACAATGTTCTGCTTACTGAGTGGCCGTAGAGATTTCCCCCTTTCTTCCTCTTGTGCTGGAGGTGGCCTCAAGTCTAGGACTACCTGGCCCCCCAGCGCTGGAGTCAAAGTGGAAAGGAATCTACATGCATTTCTTTGGTTAATCACAGGACTCTTAATCCTCTTGGTGGTTTGCTTCCTATAAGATTTCTGTTTAGGTGGGTACTGTTTTCTCCTTTGCTTTATCTCCCTGTAGTGGGGGAAGAAATCCTCAAGAGATTTTCCTAGCACCACTTCTAGCCCAGTGGGCTTCTTACTACTTTTTATTAAGAAAAGAGATTATTTGGAGGAATCCCTTGGGCACTCTTTTTGTTCTTGTCCCTAGGGTATGGGTGGGGAAATGGATATTTATCTCTTCCAATCATATTCTTACATATTTGCCAATCTTTGTCCCCAGCCTCACTTTAAAATCTACTAGTAGGCCAGCGAGGTGGCTCATGCTGCCTCCTAGCACTCTGGGAGGCCTAGACTGGAGGATTGCTTGAGGGCAGGAGTTTGAGGTTGCTGTGAGCTAGGCTGACACCAGGGCACTCTAGCCCAGGCAACAGAGTGTGAGATTCTGTCTCAGAAAAAAAAAAATAAATAAATAAAATAAAAATAAAATCTACCAATACCTGGGACCTCTTGTCTCTTAAGAGCTTCAATGGGTTCTTTCTTTTGTGTTTCCCTCTGCCTTTCCAGATCTTATTCAGGGCTTCTCAGCTGAACCCCCAACCAGATTAATTACTCCACAGCTGGAATTCCAAGTGTTTAGGGTATGATGATACCTTTGACCTTTCTCCCCTTTGGGAAGTACTTGAGTATGCAGCTGCTTGACGCCTCAGCGGGGGAGAGAGTTTGGGTCTGAGAAGCTACACTAATAGGACAAGCCAGGAAAATGCTGCATTTTCAGGACCACATCCTTCTGATCATCATTTGGAAACTGGATGTTTGCTCAGCACCTGCTTCTTGGGTATGCTGGGTTGGGGGTTCATGACACTCCCAGGAGGAATCAATCTGTAGAAGTTAATGGGGCTTGTGGAGAAGTGCTCTGAACTCTATGTTGGAACTTGAATAAAATTAACAATTACTGTATTTTTCAGAACAGCTAAGCTGTTTTATATTTCATGTGCATGAAAGCCCTAGAACTAATTATGTTATTTCAGGAAGTGAAATAGATCCTGCATTTACATCATGTGGTCATTAGTAAGTACCAAATTTATAAAAAACATTGGAAATCTATCTGTGCAGTACCTAATAAAATATGGTATGCTGAAAGTGAACAGGTACCTTGTCTCTTTATTTAGCTGTTTGATACTTTATCTGTGTACTGCTGTACAGTGCACTCTTAAAGTATTCTATAGCAGTACTTCTCAAACTTGAATGTGGGTGCAAATCACCTGGGTATCTTGTTAAAATGCTGATTCTGATTTCGTAGGTCTACGATGGGACCTGAGTGTCTGCATTTCTAATTTGCAGGAGATGCTAACATTACTAAACTATACCTCGAGTAGTCAGGTTTCATATGCGAAGTCCAAGATTTCTCTGTGACAATAGGAAAGTGGTGGTTAGCCTTATGCTGGGGCATTGTTTTTCATTTTATTTATTTATTTATTGAGACAGAGTCTCACTATGTTGCCTGGGCTAGAGTGCTGTGGCGTCATCCTAGCTCACAGCAACCTCAAACTCCTGGGCTCAAGCGATCCTACTGCCTCAGCCT